CATGGTTACAACGCCACAACAGTTCAAAAATAAGCAAACATTAACAATGAGATGCCCCGAGAACCGTGAAGGATACTTCTTTGGTACGGATGTTATAGAATTTAAGCTGTTACGGCTTGGAATAAAGTAGACGAAACACAGTCAGCAAGCTGACAGAATAAAATATTTTGACAAATGATTGTTTGGCAGATTGAAGGCTTATGTTGAAATCGTGAAAAGTTAAGTAGACTCGATGGGATTCGAAATCACGTATGGACACCGCCTCGTAGTTCAGCTGGTAGAACNNCGATGTACAAAAGCGTGAAAGGCGCCCATGTGTGAGTTCGAGCCCCTTTGAGGATAATGAACTCTTCACAATTTCAATATATTTTTACATTCCCACTGATCATTGGTTCAATGACTACAAAGCTCGATAGTAAGTCAATATAGAGGTGAAATAAGAGAACTCAGTGCTGCAACTATAAGTTAAGCATCGTCTGATTTTAATTAAATTGTCTGCCTTACAGAACTGAGGTCACAATAACTGTATATTTTAGTGATGTTGTATCTATTTCCCAATATGGCCCCGCTAAAATCATCATTCGAACCTCAATAATTTGGACCTAACTAGCCAGAGCCCAATTGATAATCATGAATAATCACTGGGGGATATGCTTCACTGCATTCTTGATCAATCGCAATGGCTGGGCGGACAGATGTTGCTTTATTCAGTGATCAACAAAGGAAGAAATGTATTCAACATACCAAAATAGATGTAACAGATTCGTCGCAACATTCAATCGAATACTCTGAGAAACCGTTTCAAAATTTCTTCTTGATCATTAACTGAAGTGTTTAAAAAATCTGATTATTCTGGGATTAGCTTGGACGAACTCCGTGTACCAAATCAATGAACCAATGAAATACGAATTTGCATTGAATAATTTGGAATGTTTGGGAGCCTCAGAGAAACCAGACCCTGTTGATGATCTTGGATGGGGTTTCCTTCTGAATGGGCTAATTCAAACATTCAACGGTTAAATTGATTGAGCTAATTATTCAGCGTGTTGACTGTCTACAATGTTCCTCAGGGGTTTCGGTTCTCAACCAGAAGTTTTGTCCCTCTGGTCCTCACAAGGACACACTGAGTACGCACTACTGGCGAGTCACCAACAAGTTGAAACAGCTATTCAGTGCTCTTTGTCAGCCATCACAAAAATGTCTGTTGCATTCAAATGCAATTAACTAGTGCAGAATTACCGGTCTCCCTAGGGTTGCAAATCATACCCAAGATCATCAATAGTCCCTGCAGTCTGCGAAAAACCAAACTCGGTATTCTGCCACTATTTGTATGTTCCTGATATACAGCAAAATGAGTACCGGTAAAACGCAGAGTAATTCAGTTAACTAAACTGGTACTTTGTGTGACTGGCGTGTTTCCGAAATGACTGCTGCATTCACCCACGATCGCACTCGATTGTACAACTGTGCTCAGCGATAGAGAAACAATGAAACCAAAATGACAATAACGTTGCTTGCTTTGCGTGTAGCTTCAGATAAGAACCAGACAACGTAATCGGTCAACCATTTCATAGGAAGTAGAAACCTAAGAGATGCATAAGCTATAAATAATTCACCACGGCAAGAACAGACTCACAGCAACATGCCTGCAAACGTGGCGATTTCCGTAAATCATGCACACACAAAAAACAAATCACTGAGAAATAAAAGTGGCTTACCCGAATCCAGGGATGTTTCAGACATTCGTTTACAGTTGCCCTTTTTCTGTGGGGCGGTGGTGGAGATGAACATAGAAGTAGGATAATTGCTAAGCGGTCACAGAGATACGTATTATATCTCATGATAAAAATCAATTAATTTGGGAAGAACGAGAAATCATTTTTCAAAGATTAATCGGTAAACGTACCGCCCGAGCAGAAAAAATGATTACTCGATCTTGTATTGCACTGCCCTTTGACTGGAGAGAATGTGAAAACTTGCCTGGTGCATTTTGAATCACATAAATCATAAATTTTGTTGCGGTTTACTGTCAGTGACTGTACACTACACCACGTTTGCAGATGTGGGATAAATGACAAAAACAACAAGGACGTCATCGAGTGAATGAAAAATGACCAACTGATGCAGGATACCACTTTCAGGTTTGAACAATAAAACTAGATATTGGTATTCTTGAGAGACTGGAAGAATTGTAAGTAAACAAAGCGTATGAATTCAAGTTGAGATTAGATGTTTTTAAACTAAACTGCACACCAACAGTTTCCCAAACTCCGATAACTATCACATAATTGTGGATATGTTTCTAAACCAAAAGAGGAAGTTGAAAGTGAAGCGAGTGAGAGAAAGTTTGTTTATCCCCAAAGGATACTGATGTTTGAGCACATGGACCAATTTTGCTTTGGCGAGAATCCTTGCGATCGTTCACTTATCACTATAGATGAAAACATTTGAAAGTGCGACTTTTGCATGCATGTAAATATATCGCAGGTTTGTGAACAAGTATGGTGTCAACGTAACCACAATTTTGACAGAAAATGGTAGAATTTGGGTGCGCGACAGAACGACAAGACACAACTATAGAGAACCATAAAAACAAGAATATAAATGTTTCCTGTTTGTTTTACCATATACGCTTCAATATACTTCGATACTGCTTTGATCTACAGTATTTCCTATAGTTTATATATCAGTGGCAGTCACCCGAACTGGACAGATCTTTTAAAATTTGTGTACTGTAACGCCCTTGGAAAATTTTCCCTCATTTTGCGTGTGCGTCCTGTTCAGGTCTCACGAAACCTTTTGGTTCATGTTGCATATATTTTTCCTCTCTCGCAGATCCCCTGTTAGTCTTCTACAGAAACTATCTTCTCGGACTCGACGGTTTCAGCCCATACCGAGATTCTGCGGCCGGGCGCATTCGTTTAAGAACAGTTTGTTGCCCAGTAGAGCTCAAGCATACATCAGTAATGATCACCTGCAGTTTACTTGTGTGAGGTAGTTCCTTGTTGCCTATTTACCACTATACAATCATACAAACAAATAATGGACGCAGTTAACATAACCCAATATGCGCACGAAAGACGGAGAAGCCGAAAAATGCCAAGGAGCTCCAATTATCCGCGGAAATAAGCCATGTCAGTGACTGTGACATTGCCTGTGATGTAAGGAAATTATGGATGAGTGTTCTTCTTTTTCTACTCCGCTGCTCGCAAGAACTATGTACCACATTTCTGAAATCCACTTTGACTTTTCTAAATGACTAGAGTTTCCATCAACAAAAGTCGTTTATCCTATTGAAACAGGCTTTTAGTGATGAACTTGAACACAGAAGTCAGTATAACACCACCGCACTATTTAAGCTGTGGTTTATTTCACTGCATTTCAATTGGCACCTACTGCGAACAAATACAACAGGGATTACAAAATAGGCAAACATGAATGCGAGTTGTATCATCAAGACGAAGGTAGAGTAAGGAACACGTATCTTTGTTGATACAACATGCATCCATCGGCTGAATGCAATCACTTCGGTGATGTTGAGTATTACGATATTATCATTGATTAAGATCGATCAAACGGATTTCTCTCGATCTGTTGGTTCATCAAAAAACGATTTACAATTGGGTATCTTGGTGTTTGGCGCTTAATCTATGCCAGTAAGCACCTGGGTTGACCTCAACATAGAAGTCTTGCATTAAAACCTGGTTTGGAATGCGTTTTAAAACCCGAATGCGTAATTTCCTTTCTGTTCAACTTATGTGTTTATCATCGCACCCACCCTGGGCTCCATCAATTAAGTTGGATTTGGCGTACAGAGACGGGTGTTTTGTAGCCTGTATGCTACTCTTTCTTTGCAGAATTCCGGGTTTGACGGCGTAGCAACTCCGGTTGACAACTGATCATAAACGTTGGTGGAATAGATTGGTCTCGTTTGAATGGAAGACCAATAGTGACCTCAAATCTAGAGGCTGAGAAAGGAACTGGCTTTTCAATCTTTGATTGACTGTGCTTGTAAACAAATTCCTCGGGATAATCTTTTTTCATCAGATCATCATGCAACAGACTCATCCTGTTTGATATAGTGCCGTTAGTGCAGATTGCATATGCTCTATGAATAAGACCGCTTTCATACCAAATGGGTGCCAAACTTCCGAAATGCATGTACTGTGTGTCCAGATTGCTTTACGATAGATCGATCTTGACATGAATCCACCATCCTAGCCTTACCTTTGTGACCCTTCATTCACATTTATGTTCATTTCCTGTTCTAATCGCGAAAACAAACGTGTTCATCTGCAGTGGACACCGGTTAGGCAGCAGTGAAATCGTCCAAAACATCAGATTGAGTAATGTTGCTGTACTAGCGTCCCTTTTCAAGTTCAGCATATTGATAAATTCATTGCTCATCTCAACAGGTGGTTCGCAGGTTGACGTGACTACTTGTTCAACTAGCCAACATGTGATCAGGAATATGTTTGACTCGTCCACACGCATCATTATAGAGCGAGAAACTGATTCACATGAGTGTGCGAGGTTAGTTCTTGTGTTTCAAAAGTTTGCTTTCTTCGTTCGGCTTCACCCATCTGGAATTCTGTCAAACTGATAGGAATGGGACAAAATTCCGACAAGTCCTTTCCAAGTACGAGATATAGAGCTGTACACAATTTTCCATTGCCCAATCATTCTTTCGTTTTGTTCCGGGGGTACAAGTAAAAGTAACAATTTGGAACACAACATGTGTGTAATCATTTGCCTGTGCGAAGTTGTACCGTAAGAAAATGAGTTGCAATGTCTTCGTTCTGTTCGAACTCGTCTAGGTACAGTCACAAGTTAGTTTTTCGGTTCGGTACATTAATTATACAGTGACAGTTTTCTCGTCGTTCTACATCCTTCCTAATTTAACCATCATCGATTGAAACGACAGCAAATCGGCGTAACTTTGACGGTTATGTTAGTGGAATTTCGTTTTTACGTACTGCACGGAAAACACAAAAAACCTTCCAAGTCTATTATATTTTAAATAAATACTACTGCCCAGTGAGAGTACACCATATTTAAGAGCACCCAAATGTCAACCATGGAAACCAACATCTCGCACCATCTACCTTGAAGTAAACCATTTAACTTGAAGTAAAACCCAAAAATTGCGCTGGGATTGTCGTGATGTTAGATTAAAGCACACTGAAACAGGTTCCTATCAGAGTTGGATGACGGGAATGAGGTTTAAATATCAAACTTGGGGCTGGAACCACTCCAGCGTCAGTGCACCAAATTTCCTGACCACCACCACACAAATGGAAACAAATTGTTTTTGTTTTTTAGCCGTGGTTCTGTTGCACATTCCTGTGGGAAGCAAAGTGACTAAAAGCTTTCTTTGTGTATTTTGGCATTGAGGTGTGATAAAGGCTGATTTACGTTCCGTTTTCACTTACTACCGACTCTGGTCCGGTGGATCAATTAGTCCAAGGTCGCTTTGTTCGTACACTTCGTATAAGTGACCGAACAGCAAACCACATGAGTCACACTCGCTAGCTGCACACAGCTGTGTAGGTGACTCTTATCGGTGACGCCTGTATAATTCTATCTTTTTTACTTTCGTTTATCTACAGTCCCTTTTGTTCAATTTAATGCAACCTACCGTTAAAGAAACGCGACGTTTGTGGCGCTACGTACTCATTGATTACCACAGCAAACGGCAGAACTCAAACCGGAAAATGACCAGTCGAATGATGGTGTTTCCGGAGTAAACTACAGACTCCGATAACCAAATTCTATCACAGTGAATCAGTTCGTAAAAACGGTGCCTAATTTTAACTCATGAAGAATCAATAGCCTCGATGGGATTCGGAAGCAAAAATAGAGGCAAACTACGTTTTACTCCAGAAAAAGATCTATCGGATGAGTTACAAACTTATACTTATAGTTATACTTATAGTTCAACTGAAATAATCCACTTCGTTTGTTGCAAGCTCTGATTTTTCACAGTCCAGATACAAATAACTAGGGATCACATATTAGTCATAGGTTGAACAATTAGCCCAATCGTAAACTTCATGCGGCAAGTTCCGACTGATTAGAGGGAAAATCTGTAAGACTGCCTATAATAAATGCTTTGTTAAGTGATCAATCGATTTTAACAATATCACATTTTGTGACCTATAAAAGAGTGCTGTATTTGGCTAGTAAATGAGGCACCGAAAACGAGCTTGTTTACCAAATTGACTTCCTGATGCAATCCACGGATATTTTCCAGTATCTCAGAATATCAGAATTATAGGTTATCTCATAGCATAGCTCATATAGCAAATTATGCAGTTGTAGGGGTGATGTCTACGGATGAGTTGAACACCGTCAAGGCTATTGCGTTTTGCGAAATTCTAGAGCGAATGAATATTTGTGAATGTTATAATGTTAATAACAGCGATGTCGGTAGAGAATTATATTCGCCGAAGTTTCGGTTACCGTGGGTAACCTTAGTCAAGGCAGGTTTTACAACTAAATGACTCAGAGGAAAGGATCACAAGTCAACAGATATTTTATTGTGTGTGCGCGTGTGTGTCTCTCTGTCTGCGTCGGTGAATATAAATCTCTACCGACATCGCTGTGTTATTAACATTATGACATTCACAATAAAACAACACATGGTGCATCGATTTTGCGATACATTCCTAACATCATTTGGTCGTGATGTGTTATGAATGAATACTTCTCAAAAATAAAGAGCTATTTGAATAGGAGCGAAAGTTCAACGAATAATCATTTTTATCTTAGATTGCAGTAAAAATATACCCAAATGGATGAAGTTAATGCTCGACGATCAAGCATACAACTGATACAGACAAGTAAAAAAGTGTGGATTCTTGAGGATAGCGACCTCAGTTAAGAGGCGACTCAGTGAGATCCCAGTCAGGACTAGCTTTAATCCGAACTACTTTCCCGGAGATCATTATCACCGTTTTCACCCATTAGAAGAAGTGGTTCCTGACATGATTCCAGTCCTCGTGTTCAAGGTCAAACTCCCGAAAATTCGTTTAAATAGCGTGACAGATTATCTGTCACGCTTGTATCGATTAACTTCATAGGCGCCGTCTGAGTGATGCTGCAGATCTTGGAAATTACTGCATTGCACAAGTCATCAGATGGTATCTACGTAACTCAGACCAAACAGACCAAACTGGGCATGCTGATGCAGGCGGGGATAACAAAATCTTCGAAAATGGACCTCATCTATTCAACAACGAAATTTTTCGCATGGCACAAGTGATGCGGAAGACTTGGAACCAGATTTGTTCAGGCACCTATCCCTATCTCTAGCAGACAAAGCTTTCAAAAATGAAGTCCACATCCAAATTGGGAGGCGCATTCGGTGTCGAATGACCACGAGTATTCCACAACACGAGTATGAGCATGCGTGCAAACAAATGAGCGAGTACACATGTGCTCACAAAGATGAAATTGGATGAAACTGGATCAGGTAGTTAGGTCGATTCGAAAAGGATGCCCAATGCGCTATAAAAATTAGTGGTTTTTGTTTGGACGGAGCCTAAGAAACCCGTCCGATCGCGCACGCCTCCGAGTCAGGCCACACGCACGCTCGCAACGCTCGAGACAGACTGAACCTGATTGGATGATCACAGAACGTATCAGCCAATGTTTGTCCAATCGATCAATCGATATGTCAAGGACACTATCTGATTGGTGCGTCACTGCGCCGTCCTCGTATGCACGATTAGTTCTATATTTTTTGACATACCGATAACTTATCGGGGAATACACGCTGACTGTGGTCTCAACCTGTGTCGTTGGGGCTTAAGCAAGAGTCGCTCGTGTCATTCGTACGCTTAGACCAAACACAACAGTTCTTCTCGCCGATACTAGCTGTGAACAAGTGTAGATGTACCGACCAAGTCGATAAATCGGTGCTTACCATGGCTTTGTCTAGCGTTGTGTTGATTTTACTCCACTGGATCTCAATATGGTGTTTTGTCGTCTACTTTTAACAACGGCTTCTAGCATAATTCCGTGCATTCGTCTTTGTGACTTCTTTGGCAAAGCACTAATCTGGAACATAACTCATTGGTCCCACTGAGTGATAGTAGTCGAATAATTGTCACGTAAAGACAGCGATCATGTTGTCAAGTTAACAATATAATCGGAGTATTCAATATAATGGATTGCATAGGGTACAGAACCACTGAGGAGTGGACTGAAAAGCTAGAAAGACGTTTCGATCTGGTCTGGTGTCATTAGCAGTGCAAATCCATCGACCCAAATGACGATCAAACTCCGGGGCATAACAGGTGGAATACAAGCATAAAAACCAAATTACCATTGGACAGCTGATCAAACCATTGTTCATTTTTACTAGACACGAGCCCATGTTTGCCAACTCGTTGCGAGCGCCACAGCTCACGCATCTCAGCATAAGACCTCAGGGTTATCACTCAGTTTAGAATCATCCAAACAGGACTGATTGGTACATCACAACCGACACTGTTCTCATAAACCACATTTTCTCATTTGAAGCTCTATCACTATAAGGTAACATTCACAACAAACATCCCACTTGTCTTTGATGCATGCAAATACAACTCTAAAGCGAGACAGAAATCATTTCAAATGGGAATTCGTCGTGTATACAGCAAATGATGCTTGAACTGAAAAGTTCGGAAGCACTGGACAGCTGATGAGACCCAACCAGGTCGAAACAGCTGTCCAGTGCTTCCGAACTTTTCAGTTCACGCATCATTTGCTTTATACACGACGAATTCCCATTTGAAATTTAACCAAATCCTCCATTACCCACAAGAAAGAAATCATTTCATCACTCTACGAAGCCTAGTCTTTGACGGTTTTGCAATAATCCTAATCGGATGCAGCACAACTTACTCGTTGCGTCTACATGTACGGGTGTAACCATGTTGGTATATTCTTGTTTACTACATAGAGACACAGCTGATAAAGAAAAATACAGGTACTTACTCATTCTGACCTTCCGTTACGCTTAACATTGACGTGCGATTCCCAGTTCCTCCAGTCAATGATAAGCTCGAGAAGCACTAAACTTTAGGGTTCACCCTAATGTACATCCACCGTTTAACTACGGTTCAAATTCCGGACCTCCATAGGGGAGGGGACATGTGCCACATCATTACTCAAAAGTAACTCTGTTACCAGAGTTGTTGCAAATCTAGCACACCATGTTCATTTGAGGACAATGATAAGTCGAACTAGGAGTGGAACTGGTGCCTCGCGGTATCCAGGTGTACGGCAGATAGGATGAACATGGGATTGTGGATTATCAGTTAAAACTCACTTCGAATAAGCGGTACGAACACCCTTAGAGGAAATCGGTTATTCAGAATGAAAAATAGCAAGTCCTACGCAGTTTAGCCGCAAGTGAAACAACCATTCATTGAAAGCTTACTTGGGGTTTTTGACGAGCAAGCGTCGGATAAAATCCTTGGCCAAATCGGTGGCATCGCGTATCTCCTCACGAGTATAATCCACAATACAATCTAAAATGTTCTGAAATGTCTCGATCTGAGAATCGCCAGCGAATGGGGAAATGCCGGTCAACCTATTTGGTGGTAAGGCAAACCGAAGAACGCAGGAAAAAGTCATGAGTGAACAACGTGCAACCCATGGAAGCTAGATGCATCACGTAGTTATGACATTTTTTTACCGCTAACATAGGAAGTATTTACCAACGTTAACTATGAAGCTATTTCTTAGATAGAAGTGGCTTTCATTTATATTTCCCGCTTTTAGGGATACATATATTGTGGCTTGTTACTTAGATTATTCATCTTTTGAAATTGGTGTCCCTCAGTTATTCATTCTTCATTCTGTTTACTAAATTCGTGTACATATCTGCTTGTGAATGTGCGAATAAGAAATACAAAAAGGACATTTTTAAATGTGACACCGTATTTTAACAAGTGGCTTACTGCTGAAAATTTCAAGTTGCACTATTATAGTTCTGACACCAGAATGTGTGACAAACAAATTACGCTACATGGGTCTTACGACAAATAAATCAACCTATGCTCACGAGCGAAAGACTGCCAGAATTCTCAGGCTGAATCAGATAAACTTTATTGCAGGGATAACAAACGGAGTAGCCAACGTCCGAGGCACAAACCAGCTGCATGATGTGTAAAAACCGCAAACCGTTGGGGACGCCATTAAGTTGATCGGATCATATACCATGTGGACGGAGTGAAAGTTCAAGATGCCCAATCAATACAGTGACCACAGCCATAACCATATAGATGTGTGTGGTTCGTACACCTCTTCTTGTTTGAAAAGAAAATACCATATTGCAATACTGCACGATTTATGTCCAGGACGATTTCGCTGCATCTCAACATGGTGCATACTGCAGAAAATACAATGTTTATATAGGGTTTTAGCATAGCAACAGAGTGAGGCAAAATACATTAAAAACAGACAAAACATAAACGAGGGAGGGGTAAAAGGGCCATTTCACCAGGGTAGGGAGAGACGAACATACAGTTCTTTTTGCTGGCACAGGGGGCTTCCATCGATTAATCGCAATTGCTTCAGCAAACCTTAGCAATCTTGCGACTTGTAGACAATTTAAAACGCTGTGCTTCGGT